ATAAAAGTATTATTAGTATAATAATTATAAGTTATAAAATTAAAGGTTTTCGAGATTATAAGAATTTCTTTTAAATATATTCTAAAATAAAGAATAAATTAAAATAGTCTTAGATTATACAAATATATTATATATATTCGAGTTTTTTTTTCTTTCTAATAAGAAAATAAAGCTAAAATAATAATATATATAATAGGGAAAATAGATATAATAATTAGATATATTTAAGGTAATATAATTACGAATTAGTAATAATTATAGAAGATAAAATATAAAGTTAGGCTTCTATTATAGAAAAGAATATAAATATATATACCTAAAAAAATATAATTAAGGAAATAATTAAGGTAAATTAAACTAAATAGTAATAATAGGGAAATAAGAAAGTAATATAATAGAAATATAAATATAAATATAATAATAATATCTAAAGTATTAGAATATAAAAAAAAATATAAAAAAATTTATAATATAGGTATATTCCGATTCTTTATTTATTTAGAGACATTTCTATTAATTCAAAAAATAATATAAAAGAAGGGAAATAATATAGGAAATATATAAAAAGTAAGATATATAAATAAACTAAAAATATTAGGAAAAATATAAAGTAAATATTAATAGAAAAGAAATTAGAATAATAGGATTAAGAAATAACTTAGAATAAGGTATTATTTCTTCTAAAACTAATCTATATCTTTTCTAAAAACTAATTATATTTATTTAGTACTTATTAGAGTTAACTTTAAATAATATAAAACTATTTAGTTATTTAGGACTTTAAAATAATATTTATATTAATAAAGATAATACTAAAGATATTAAAATATATAGAAAAAAGAACTATAAGATAATATAAATAGGGTTTATAGTATTATTATTAAGTTTGAAATAGTTAATATTAAAATTAATATAAAATATAAAAAGATTAGGTATTCCGAATTAGTATTAAAAATATAGGAATTATTTAGATAATATTTAATAATAAGAAATAGATTAATAGTAAGAATTAGTAAATTATACTAGCTTTTTAAAAAAGTAATTAGTTCCCGGTAATAAAATAATATTTTAATTAGGAAATAGGTTTCATATAAAAGAAGTTCTCTTTATATAGAAATAAGAATATATAATATATTAACTAAGCCTTAGTATAAGTTTTAAGAATAGCTATAGTTATATTAAAGAGGAAATAGGTTTTCTAATATAAGATAAGCTTTAAATAGGCAGATCTAGTTTATCTAATATCTAATAAATTTCCAGAATTATATATTATTAAATACTTTCAGAAATAATTATTAGGTTTAATAAGGTTTCTCTTTTCTCTTATAAGGCTTCTAGTTTAGCTATTCCGTCTATATATAACTCCTAATTAGAAAGTTTATTTAGGTATTATAAGGAAACTTATAATAGTAGTTCAAGTTAAAATCGAGATCTATAGTTATTATAGTCAAGCTTTAGACTAGTATAAGCCATAAGAATAGCTAGTTAAAAAGGCAAGTAAAGTCTTTAAAAGATTTCTAATTTAGTAAGATATATATAATAGATTTCCTTTCTTTTTTTCTTTTTTCTCTAATTCCAAATATAGTTACTATTTATTACTATAGTTTAAAGTCTAGAATTTATAAAATAACCTCTCAATTTCCTATTTATTTTTATACTAAAAGAAATCCTTTATATTTAATTCCCAAGATCTAATAATAGAATTTTATATATTAAGAATATTATCTAGTAATAGTAATTAGATAATAATAAGAAATAAGTAATAATAAAGCTCGTCTAATTTCTAGAATAATAGTCTAATAATAATATTTTCTAAAGGTTATAAATATTAGTTAGAAGAAAAAACAAAAAGTATATAAAGAATTAAAAATAATAAGCTTTATTTTAAATTAAGAAAAGCTTCTATTATTAAATACTTTTTTCTAATTCTCTATAAAGAAAATATATTTTACTTTCTCTAATTCTAGTAATTCTAGAATATATATAATAATACTAGTAGCTTTCTTAATTTCCTAAGTACTATTTTACTTATAGTATTCTATAACTACTTCTCTTTCTAGTTTTATATCTATTTTAAAATATTTATTTATAGATATATACTTATTATTAATTTTGTTTTTAGAGAAATACCAGAATTTATCTCTTTTAATAAACTACTTGAGTTAATTTCTAGTATATATTCTTTAAAATATAATACTATTAAGTTCTTCTAGTATATAATATTCTTTTAGTTAATTTGTATACTTTACTTTATATAGGCCAAGCTAGTAATATAATAGCTTTATATTCTTTAACTTGTCTTAATTTATTAATTTAATATTATATATAAGAACTAGATCCTTTTCGGAAATAGGCTTTAAATAAATCTAGTAAGTAGTATTAAATTACTTCTTTCTCTCTTAGTATTTTCTATTCTTTTTTATTCTAGCTTCTTTAATATCTTTATCTCTTATTTATATTTGCTTTATATATATCTCTAGAAGTATTTCTCTATTATAAACTTTATCTCATTCAAGTATTCTCTAGATTAGAAAGTATATTTCTATAAATAGTACTACTTCTTTATTATAGACTATATAAAAGAAAATAAATCCAGTTAGTTTATATATAGTAACTTGGTTAGTAAATAAAATATATAATAATAAATCTATCTAAGGCTTCTTTCTACTTATTATAAATACTATAAGTATTTAAATAATCGGTTAATATCCTCTTTTAATTATACTATTTCCTTTAGAATTATAGGCCGAAATAATAATTCTATTAATTTCTAGCTTATTAAGTTCCTGAATTATTATTTCTTTAAATTCCGATCTACTATTTACCTTAAGTTACCTAAATAAATTATATCTATAAATAATTTCTTCCCAAATAAACTTAGTAACCTTTTTACTAGTTGAGTTCTTTAAAGGTCTAGCTTTAACCTATTCTAAGAAGTTGTCTCTAGTAATAACTAATAAGTTATATCTTTTATAGTCTAGTAATTTAATTATATTAATCCTAAGGTAATAGAAAAGAAGTATAGCTTTTATTAGATATAGAGCTTCTTCTTATCTTCTTTTACTCTTATACTAATAGACCTTATAAGTATTAATATATTTCTATATATAATTATAGTAATTTTCCTAGTAATAGTAGCTAGCTACTAAATAAAAGGTATTTTCTCTTCCGGTATATCTAATCTTATTATATAGTTCTTTAATAATAATTTCCCTTTACTTTTAATTATTAATAATAAGTTAAGGTAAATATACTTTAGATATAACTCTCTAAAATAATTAATCTCTTATATTATAATTTAAAGCTTTTTTATTTAACTTTTAAAACTCGGCTCTAGATATTTCTTCTAGTTTAAAGAATATTATAAAGTATTATATAATATTCTAGTATTATTCGAAATAGCTATTATTTAAAGAATCTAGTAAAATAATTAGGTTATTAAGTAAAATATATAAGTTAGTATTATTATTTACTATTTTACTAGTAGTTATATATAAAAGACTATAGCCTTTACTATATAACTTCCGGATTTTATTATTTTTTAATATTACTAATTTGCTTCCAGATATAATAAGGCTTTAATTATTAATCTCTAATAATAAAATATTATTATCCAAATATCTAGTAAAGATCTTAGGAGTCTAATTTCTTAAAATAATATTATATAACTAAACTAGAACCGCTTTCTTTATCCGAATTTTCCGCCTAATAAATACTATTTCAATAGTATTAAGCTCTATTACTAACTATTTATTAATATTCTTATTTTCTTTAATATTACCTTCTTATTATTAATATCTTAATAATCTATTAGTAATAATATATTTAGTTCCCTTAATATACTTGACTTTAAAGTCAAATAACTGAATTTATATTAGCTAGTAAGTAACTAGAGCTTTAGGAAGATCTATAGCTACTTTACTTAGCTATATAACAAGTATATTAGTATCTAATTTAAGAATAAAGTAAACTCTATATAGCCAGAATTATACTTTCTATAGATACTTTACTAGCCTTTAGTATTCTCTTTTAGTAATATTATATTTTCGTTTAGTATTATTCCAGATTCCAGACTTATATTATATAATTCTCTTTTTTTCTTTATTATTATATTAACCAAGAATTCCGCCTTATTTATCTAGGCTAGTATTTACTACTAATATAATTATTCCCTAACCTTCTAATAAATTATAATATAACTTATAAAGTATTAGAGCTATAATAAGCTTTTCTTAAAGAATTCATATAGCTTGCTTTTATTTATTATCCTAGTTCTATATTACATCTTTCCTTATTAAGTAGTAAATGGGTTTAGTAATAATTATAAAGTCTTTAATCCAAATATAATAATAAATAATAATTCTAATAAATACCTTATCTTTAGTTATACTATTATAATATTTCTATTTCAAGATCTTAGTAATTCCTAAACTTAAAAAGCTTCTTCTAAATACTTTATAAATAAAGCCAATAATAACTATACTATTATAATAGAACTATAATTTTTCTCTTATATTAGCTCCGGTTTATTTAATTCTATCTAGGGTTATATTTAGGTTTTAAAAATATTTAAATATAAAATACTAAATTTCAGGTAAAATAAACTACCTATTATAATTTATATAAGGTTTCTTAATTCCAATATTATTAATAAATAGTATAGTAATTTTAAGAAATAGATCCTCTAGAATAGTTATAATAACCTATATAAACTATATAACAGAATTAGTAATTTTCTAAGATAATATAATTATTCTTAATAATTCTAGAAATATTATAAATATAATTAAATCTCTATTATAAATATCTAATATAAGTTAATTATATCTAGAAAAGAAATTAATTAGAGAAGTATAAGTATATCTAGTAAATTCCTCCAAGATCTTATTAATAAACAGGAATAGGTTAGTATCTTATAAAGTTACTAAATTTATCTTTATAGTAGTATTAATTAGTCTATAAATCCTAGTAACTTTCTTTATAACCAAGAACTATAAATTTCAGTAAGATCTATTATATTTCTCAAGAACTTTATAATCTAGGTATTCTAATAGTATTTTTATTACTACTAGTACTAAAGCTTTAGGATATAGGAAATTCTTCTCTTGCCAGGCTTTATACTTAATAGTTTTAATTAGAATAAGTAAGCTAATATTCTTATAAACTTTTCCTACTTCTTTCTAATTAAATATAATTATATCTTCTTAATTAATTATTAATTCTTGAAATATAGCTAGTTTCTTTTTCCAGAGCTAATTACTAATATCTAATTATTTAAAACATTCCGGAATAAGTTATAAATCTCTTAAAATAACTAATATTTTTAGTAAAAAGTAGTTCTTATATTTCCTAATATATTTCTATAGGTATTCTCTAGTTTTAAATCTCTCAAACTAGTCCGGATATCTACTAGGGCCTTTTCTAGTTCTATTATTAGTATTTACTAGTTAAACCTTCTTATCTTTTATTTTATATATTCTTATAACTAGAAATAAACTATAATTATTATTCTTTTCTTTAAAAGCTATAGCTATTTTCTCTAGTATTCTTTTTATCTAATCTCCGGAACTTATAACCTTTCTACTTAGCTTCTTCCTAGTTAGATATAAAAAGTGCCTTTTTATCTAGTATTTTAATATATTTTCCTTAAGCTCTTATATATTCCAGAATTCTTTCTAGTTTTAGGTTTAATATTTTTTAGCTTCGGAAATATATTCCTTTATTATTAGGAAATACTATTCTATCTCTTTTTTAAAAATATCTTTATTTAATACTCTTTTTATTTCTTTTTCTATTAATTCCGGAACTATTCTTAATAATACTCTAATTAAAGCCTTTTCTGCTTTAGTTTCTCTAAAAATATTATTAATTTCCTAAACTCCTAAACCTAAAATAAAAGAATCTATAGGAAATTCCGATGTCTTTCCATTTCTCCTAATATTACTACTAGTTATAATACTAGGCTCTATTTTTTCTCTTTATCTTTAGTTTCCTGTTCTATATTACTTAATTCCTTAACTCTAGAAGCTTAGTACTTTTAAACTATTACTTTTTTCTACTTTCCGGTATTCTTTAAAAATAAAATAATTATAATAGTATAGGTATTCTAGTTATTTTTAGGATTAGTAAACCTTTTATTTTATAAACTATTATTCCTATATATAATTTTTATTTTTATTTTTACTAAGAATAGTTAATTAAATAGAATCTTTAAAGCCCCTTTAACTAGAAAGAATATATCTTTATATCCTATTTTATCTATAACCTTAGCTCTAAGCTTTACTATTCCTATAAATCCAAATTCTACTCTAGTAATAGTAGATATTTAATAATCTATAATATTATATATTACTTTACTAATACTCCTAGAGATCTTTTCGGGAAGAATATTAACTTTAGCTTTAGTATTAATTATTTCTTTATATTTAATACTTTCTTAAGGTTCTCAAAGTATAAACCGGAAATATAGAGCTTATATAATATATTTATAAGCTAGTAATATCCGAATATTAATACTATTATTTTTAAATTAAATAATTCTATTAGTATTAGGTATTTAAACTAGTATTTCTAATTCCTTAAATATTTTATCTATTATATAAGCCATAGCTACTAGTTTTATAGATCTCCTAGTATATCTAACTATATTTAATATAATAGTATTTCCTATTTATAAGATAATAAAATAGAAAGTATTATTCTTAATTTATTAATTCTAAAGTATAATAGCTAGATCTAGTATTTTTAAGGCATTAATAAGTATTCTCGTTTTTTTCTAAGTCTTTAGAAATAGAATAATTATTTTCTTTAATAGTCTTATTAAAATATTATTAACTTTAAGAATTCTATACTTATTATAATTAAGAATATATTAGGTTTCTAATTTATTTTATTTATTTCCGGAAATATTAATATCTATATTCTTAGCTAGGCTATTCCCTTATCTATTACTTCTTAAAGTAATATTCTTCTAACCTCTTATATAAAATAGCTTCTCTTTTACTCTGGCTTATCTTTAGAAAACCTCTTTAGCTATTTTTATCTCTTTTCCCTTTCTTCTTAATAAGGAACCTATTATAGTATTAATAGAAATACTATTTATAGCTAAATCTTAGTATTATCTATTAATTCCAGAACCTGAAGTATTAGTAATTCTAATATAATTTCCTCTAAGGCAAAATAGCTATTTAGATTCTCTAAATATAACTTACTTACTTCTATATATAAATCCTGGTTAGCCAGTTCCCTTTTCTCTTTTTTATCTAATAAACTAGATATTTTCTATTAATCTCTAGACATTTTTAGGTCAAGTATTTAAGTTATAGTCAAATTCTTTTCCTTAAACTTGGGAAATAATTTAGTTAAACTACTAATACTTACTAGTAAGAAAAAAGAGAATACTTTCTTATCTAGGCTTAAATAGTTCTTTATACTATCTTCTATTAAATTAATAAATATATTTATAGTTTATAAGTTCTTTTATTAGTAAATAATAGAACTAAAAGATATAAATATATTCTAAATTAATATTATTATTCTTATTCCTATTATAATACCTATAGTAAATTCATTCTCTCAGTTCTAGGTTTATATTATAGGCCATATTAACTTAAATAGTGTTTTCTAACTATACTTAAAACTAACTTCCTCTAGAATATAATTATCTAGACCCTTTACCTATTTTAGCTTAACTACTATAACTACTATAGTATTTTTTATAACCTCTATTATAACTTCTAGTATATCTTTCCCGAAAACTCGAATTATACTTACTAGGCTATTAATACTATTATATTTACTATAGTTAGCTAGGCTATATAAGCAAGTTACGAATATCTTCCCAAATTATAATAGTAATTATATTAAGTTATTTTTATAGATTCTCTTAAATTATAGTAATAATAAATAGTTTTTCCAAACTTCTTATTAGCTAATTAATATTATTTCTCTTAGGTTTACTACTTTTAGTAGGTTTTATATAATTAGCTATAGGCTAGATTCTTTTTTTACTTATACCTATAATAGCTTTAGGAAATATAATAGAAGAAACTAATAAGAAATAATCGTCTTCTGGCTTAGAAATCATATTATAAACTACTATATCCAAGTATTCTTATCTAAATCTAGATATATCTGGGTTATTAGTAATATTAAAATAATATTTCTTTTCTTTATATTAATAGAATATTATTACTTTCTTATATATTTTACTATATTTATAAGTAGAAATATTTATAGACTTAAAGTTTATATTCTTAAAAATATAATCTCTTACTAGAATAGATAATTCTCTTATAAATTCTCGGTACTAAGTAATTTTATTTCTTTCTTTCCTCTTTAGTAACTTCTTTAATACTTTATTAAATATATTAATATAAGACTTAAACGAGATTCCTTTATTCTAGGCTTATATAATAATCCAATTAAAAAAGTTATAGCTAATTTTAAGTATTTCCTAGTTATATTCTCGGAATTCTTTTAGTAAGGCCTTAAAGTACTTAGTCTTCTAGTAATCTCCTGAATTATTAGTATAATACTCTGGTATAGCCTTAATCTAATTCTTATAAATAGGAGAGATATAATAGATAATTCTTTTTCTTTTAGTATTATTAGAAATATAATAGTTCTTATATATATTTATATATTATTTCAAGAATATAAAGATATTACTTCCCTGAAATTATAGTATTCCAGAAGCTTCTATAAGTAGTAAATTCAAATCCGGTACTAGTATATACTTATTTTTAGTTATATTAATTTTAATAATTTCTTTTATAGCTAATTATAGGATTTCTATATCTAAGACTTCTATTAATAATATTCCTAAAGAACTAATTTCCTATTTAAATATATTTTTTAATTTGGGAACCGGAATTAAGGAAAAACCGGTTAATAATAATAAATATAATTAAGATTCGAATTTTAGTATTAGTAATAATAAAGTAATAGCTTTTCTAGTCTTATTTCTATTACTTATATTCTCTTTCCTGCTCTATTAGCTTAATACCTATAGTATTTTTCCTTAATTTTACTAAACTAGATATATTTATTAATACTATTCAAAATAATAAATATAATTTTACTAATTTTACTAATTTTTCTGACTTTTCTAAATTCTCTTTTCTTTCTTTACTTAATATCTATTTCTTTCTCTAGAAAATTCTCTAGTTTATCTATATAATTTCTTATTTCTAATTTCTTTTTAATTCTTATTTCTAATTCTAGTTTACTATTTTACTTAAATTTGAGGATATTTCCTCTTTTAAATATCTTTTTCGAACTTAAAAATAAGCTTTATTATTAAAATTAAAGCTACTTTAATTCCGGCTTTTATTATAACTAAAAATAATATATAAATTAATAATATAACTTTATTTCCGAATACTAAAGTCTAATTCTAACTAAGATCTAACTCGTACTATCTTAGTATAATATTTCTTATTCTATTTCCTTTATTTCTTTTCCTTTTATAATTAGCCTCTATTTCTACTACTTTTATATATTATACTAGTAATTATATCTTATAGCTAGCCTATATCTAAATTAATATAAGATACTAAAATTAATACTTATATATCCTTAATATTTTGGCCTTAGGCTTAAGGTATTATAATAGCCCTTTTTTCCCCTAACTTACTAAGCTAATAATTTACCTTATAGATATCTTTTAGAACTTTATAAGAGTATTACCTTAACTATAAAGTTTCTATTCTCTCTATATTACTTACTATAAAATATATAAGAGAGAAACTATAATAAGACAAAAACCCATATAAAGTATACTAGAGTATAAAATATAATAAAATAATAAATTAATAAATTAAAAGTATAAATAGTAAAGTATAAATAATATATAGTATATAAAAGCTTAATTAATTAAATACTTATAAGAAATTATTCTCTAAGTCTATAGAAAAACTAGCTTTCTTATATGATTTCTATAAGTTATATATAAAAGGCTATAGCCTTTACTATATAATTTCTATAAGTTATATATAAAAGGCTATAGCCTTTACTATATAATTTAAACTTTAAAACTACTAAAATAATACGATTTTCGATAAGTACGGCCTGCCATACTATAATATTCTTATATAATATAAAAGAAATACTAGTTAACTAAATAGTTAAAATAGACTATATAAGCTAGTAATTATTAATAAAAAAAACTATATACTAGCTCTATTATATAGTAATATTACCTTCTATTTAATTTCTATAAAACTCTTTTATATAGGAAATATTAAGGTTATTACTAATAGCCCCGAACCTAAATCTATTTTCGAACTTTATAATAAGGCTAAAAGTAATATAAATATAATTTCTCTTACTATTTCTACTATTTTACTAAAGTATAATAGAAGATATTCTTATAAGAACCCGGATTTTATAGTATTCCTATAGGATAATAACTTATATAAGAACTTCTATTAAGTTAAAGTTATTAGCTTTCTAGAAAAGAATATATTTAAAGTTATTTCTAGATCTCAGATATTAAAAAAGATATATATCTTTAATTCCCGGGTTATTAATAAAATTAAGAATAAGAATATAGAAAGAGAGTTTAAGAAATTAAAACTAGTTATTTAGATTTATAATAATAATAAGAAATATATAATATTAATATAATTACTTACTATTTAATATATTAGCTAGAGAATTATTCTTAGTATTACTATTATAATAATAGATACTATAGAGCTATATTTATATAATATCTTATAAGCTTATATCTAATTAATAACTTTACTTAATTATAATTTTTATATTAACTTACCTTATAAGCTTACTAGAAAGCTAAATCTAAATAATAATTTGGTTCTAAAGGTTATAAAACTATTATATAATATACCGGAAGCTAGAAATTACTAGTTTAAAACTTATTATTTCTACTATATTAATAAGCTTTCTATAAAATAGTTAACTTATAATTCTTGCTTTCTTTATAATAAATAACTTTTCGGAATTATTAGCCTTTAGACTAATAATACTCTATTTATTAGAACTAATAATTTTATAAAGGCAAAATAATTAAAGCTCTATAAGGCTAAATTCTTAGCTAAGAAATATAAATGCCTTATTATTAACTATAATCTCAAGTTTAATAAAGGTATTATTTATATAAATACTAATAAAATTACTTTTATATAGAAATACTAGTATAAAAACCTCTAAACTATTTCTATAAAAAATACTATTATTATAAATAATAGAGGTATTATTTATTAAGATTTCTTTATTAAAAACTAATATATTACCTAATATACTAGAGAAGTATATATTATATTAGTTTATTAACTAGAAGCTTTATATAATCTATTAATTATTACTTAAATTATTAAATTCTTAGAAACTAATATAAAGGTATTTAATAAGTATATTTAATAGTAAATTGAGAATATTACTAAAGAACTAAGATTTATAAAGCTAGTAAAAAAGTTCTTATATTTAATTATTTTTATAGATATTTCATTTATAAATAATAGAGATCTCTTTTTCTAAATTAAATATATTCTAGTTCTAGTAAATAGAACTAGATATACTAATATTATTTACTAGTTCTTTACTAAATATAAGAGAGTTACTAGAAGTATTCTAGCTTTAGAACTCTATAGTATAGCTTATGCCTTTAATATAAGTGCTTTAGTTAAATCTATAATTAATAAAATACTAGAAATAGAATTATTACTAGTAATCTATATGAATTCGAAATTATTATATAAATGCCTTATTAAATTAGGAACTACTCGAGAAAAGTATTTAATAATTAATATAATATATCTTTACTAGATATATAAATAATAAGAGATTATAGAAATTAAATAGATTAAAAGAAAATTATATTTTATTAATTCTATAATGAAATTAAAGCTAATAAATGCCCTTAAGTATCTAATTAATATAAATACTATATAATTAGATATAGAGAAATAGGTCGAGTATAAATAAAACAGGAAATAAATATATAAGATAGGAGGATATTTATTGCATAGTAACTATATGCTAGTAGTCACGTGCAGGCTCACGTGACTACATTCCTGTATTTAAGCTTTGGCCACTCGTACCACACCTCTCTTTCCTCTTTATCTATCTATATATTATTATTATAATATAATAATAATGTTTTATTATAACAAATAGTAGTAATACTCTTTAATTCGATTTAATCAGGGTCTCCTTACTCTCGATTACCTGCAAATTCCTCTATACCTCCCCTAGCAAGCCCTCCAAAGCTCTGCTCCAACCAGTCGATCTCTTAATTGAGCCATCGATTGGAAACCGTCAATACCTCCACGGCATTACCATACCTTTTAATTAGACCTCTTAATTGAGCATTCTATTTAATAAACAAATCGATTCTCAGTTATCGCCATCCGTACGATAATTACCATCGTCTGAATCGGAGCACCATACTCGCCCTCCAGCAATCGCGACCGATACTGCCCTCCCGATGCTTCCGCACCATAAACGACCTCCATATTAACCATAGCGTATATAAACATCGCAATAGCCTCCTTCTCAACTTGACGTCCCTGTACGCTCCGTACAGCCTCGACTACCATCCTTCTGCCGTCGAACAGCCTCCCTTAGCTCATCGACAGCCAGCCTCCTCCTCCTGCTATCAAGCAGCCTTCCTTAGCTTATCGACAGCTCCCTGCTTCTCTCCTGCGCCCCATGCTCCTCTCCTGCACTCCCTGCATATCGAATACATACATACGGTGCCATGGGACGCTTTGGTTACTAGCATTAGGCTATGGAGTTCAGGGATATTAGAATAAGGCTGTTTTTGAGCTTTTTGGGTGGAATTCGTTCGATTTTCTATCCTTTTCGAAAAGTTGGCCCGCCGTACATACGAGTGAATCGTACATACGTATAGAATAGAGGACCACGCAGTTCTTTCTTTTTTGGGGGCATATATTGCATAGTAACTATATACTTGTAGTCACGTACAGGCTCACGTGACTACATTCCTATATTTAAGCTTTGGCCACTCGTGCCACACCTCTCTTTCCTCTTTATCTATCTATATATTTGTGAGGCACGTAATAGCAGGGTAATGCACAAGTAGTCAAGGTAAGTAAGCTGCGGAGTGACGCTTGCAAGTGTAACTGATTCCAAGAATTGATTCTAACAAGAGACTAATTAATACCCCTTCCAAAGCTAGGAGCGTCTCCCTATATATTCCCTAGTACTTAGCCAGGTATGCGAAGCCCTTTACTTAATTAGGAAATCCTATGTGATCCATATGATTCCGATCGCAAGCTATATCCAAAATAGGAAACTAGATCTATAATATCTAATACCTGTCTATGCGCCATTATATATGCCTATTATATTAACCCTCCCTATAGGCCCTTGTCCCCAAGAGGCCTGGGAAAACTGCGAATAGCTTTATAAATATTTCCCTGAAACTTTCCTGGCCGCTAGCTTTCCCCAAAGACTTCCTATAATTGCCCTATTATTATACCAGGTAATAGAGTTAAGGATATAGTTTACTAACCCTTCCTAGCTAGTTCGCAAATTGCCTCTGGCGATTTCCTCTTATAAAGGTAGTATAAATATAGTATATACTATCGGATATAAAGCTTATCTGATCTCCTAATTAGTTTATAAATTCTAACTTAGCCTCTATTTATAAATAAATTATTACTCTATAGGCCTAAGAGCTTGGAAAAGTTAATCCGATCTTCTGGTTTATTTATAAATTCTTTCTTTGGAATTTTCTGGGTATTCCTGGTATAGAGCCGGTTCCGAATTTATAATTACTATTTGGGAAGAGGATATTATAAAAAGGCCTCCCTTTTCCTACTAACTAACCTTTCTTTTCCTTAACTATAATATTATACCTAGCTTCTCCTTATCTCTTGCCTTCCTTCTTTAAGCCTTCTTTAAGCTCCTTTAAGCTTCTTTAAGCCTTCTTTAAGCTTTATTTAAGTTCTTTTCTAATTTTCTCTTTTCTTCTTTATTTATTAAGATAAATACTTCTCTTAGTACTTATTAGCCTATTATTACCTATTTAGCTAATATTCCTATATCCTTAATTTGCCCTTATTATCTTTAATATTCTAAGAATATTACTAAGTTTTCTGATCTTACTTATATTAAGAATAATAATTACTTAATATATAATTACTATTATTCTAAGAATAAGAAATATAATTCTATAAGTTATAAATTTCTTCTTTTATTTCTTATTCTAATACTATCTAAAGTTCTTTAAATATATATAATATAATTAAATTACTTTTTTTAAGCTATTAATATATATAAGTATCTTTCTTATTCTTTACCTAAAAGAAAGAAGGCTATTATTGCCTTTCTTTTATACTAAACTATATATACTTCTTATATTAAAGCTATTATTTAAGGCTAATAAATTTCTCTAATAATCTAAGAAATAGATTAAGTAATTTTTACTAGCTTAATATAAGTATAAAGTACTTTTAATAGTATAATTAATATTTTTTAATATTAAGTAAGCTTACTTCTTTCTTATTTTTTACTAATAGCTAATAGCTTTATAGGCTAATTTACTATTTATTTCTCGAGAGAATTCTAATAAGAATAATAATAAGAATAATAAAGAGTAATTATAAGAGTAAGATATTTATAAGATATAGAAATTAGAGTTTTTAATAATTTTTATATGGTTTTTCTAAGAATAAATATATGGTTTTTTAATAGTTTCCTAATAAAAGTATTTATTTTTTATATCTCTATTTAGCTAATAGTATTATAATATTACTTTTTTTTAAGTATTCTTATAATTCTTAAGCTATATTTTCTAGATTACTTAATAATTCCTATATATTATTTACTAGTAAATAACTTTTCTAATAAATAAGATATTTCCTTTCTTTTCTATTCTTTCTATAGGCTATAATAGATTCTATCTCGAATTTCTCTTTACTCTTAATTTCGACCGGCTCTAGTTCTATTATAGTACTAGCTTGCGGGTATTATAGTTCTAAGAAAGAAATATAGAAAATATTATAGATCTAATATAATAATAGTAATTCCAAGTAATATATTTATTTATATATTTCTATAATTTCTAAAACTTTAAAGGGGCCAAGATATCTATTTATTAGCTTTATACTAGGTTATAGCTATTAAATATTCTTTATATAAAATATAACTTTATTATATATCTTAAATTCCTTATTAATATATTTCTTATTATAATACTTTTTCTATATATCTACTATTTCTTACTATTATTTCTCTAGTATTTCCTATTTTACTTAAATTCTTTATATTCTTTCTTATACTACTAGTATTTTTTTTTCTAGAATATTATCCTTAATATATAGTTTAATAGTAGAATAGAATTTATATAAGATATAAAATAAGGATATTTCTATTATTAAATATATAAAGTTATTATATATGAATTCTATAAAAGTAAGCTTTATTACCTAGTTATTTTATTAGTAGCTAGTATAGTATTTCAAGTATTATTCTAGAGTTTAGTTCAGATTCTTTATTTATTTATTAGTTTATAAATAAAATACTATATTTAGCTATTATTAAATCTTTAAATAGAAATATAGACTTAACTAGAACTTACTTATAAAAACAGATCCTTTATTAGAAGTTATACCTATAAATATACTAAAGTCTTTAATAATATAGTATATAAATAGCTTTACTAGCTCAAGAGCTAAAACCTTCTTAGTAATTGAAATATATTATACTATTTTCGTATATTTATTAATAATAATAAATATAGAATTATATACTTTATTATAAAACCTAGAAAGAGGTAGCCCTATAATAAAGTCTATAGTAATTTCTTATTATAGCTTAAAGAGGAGGGAAAATAAACTGAGTATATTATATAGCAGATATCTTTTTACCTTAGTTTATTAATATATAAAACAAATTCTAATATAGTTTTTTATATTCTTTTTTATATTTTACTAGAAGTACTTTTTCTAGAGAATCTCTAGTATTTTACTAGTACTAAAATACTTACTAGTAGAATTATTATAGTTAGCTTATAGTAATTCTTTTTTGAGAGCTAGCTTATTTAGTATATAGATAGTATCCCGATATCTTAATAACCCAGATATATTAAGTTTCTAAGTCTTAATAGCTTTAGTAAAGGTTTCTTTTAAGAACTATTTATATTACTAGTATTATACTAATAGATTAAGCCTTTAGTACTATAATAGTAGTTTAAGTAATATTTCTTTATTTTTTTTATATACTATTTTGGACCTAGCTATTTATATAACTAAAATTTGTAATATATACTATTTATAACTAGCTATACTAGTAATAGGCTCAAGTAATAGTATTTCTAGTACTATTTTATTACTAAAATAAACTTCTTTTTCGGAATTCCTTAATATTTTACTAATTAAAAAGTACTTATTTCTTCTTTCCTGGGCCTTATATTATAGTATTATAGGAATAATATAGTATTCTATTACTATTACCTATAGGATTCTCTATTCTATATTCTATAGCTTATTATAAAATATAAATAGTAAAGTATTTTTATTTATACTTACTATAAAGTCTAGCCTCCTTAATAGCCTATTAGCGGAATTACTATATCTCGGCTAGTATTCTAAAACAAAGTCAAAGGCAGCTAGCTTCTTTACTTATTTTATCTATTAATTATTTAGTTTTCTTTTAGTTATAAAGTATTTTAAGTTATTATAATTTGTCTTAATAATAATAGTATATTAGATATATACTAGATAATATTACTAAATACGAAATACTAGAATAATAGCTAAAAGTTTAGAGTTATATATCTTATATTTACTTTTAATTATAATTATCTTTTTTAAATAGAAAATAATAGGGTATTATCTGGCTTTTGCTTTCTTATTAAAAAGCTAGGAAATTATATCTATAATTATAAATCCTAAAGTATTTATTTCTATATAAATCTTTAAGACTAGATTAAAATAATAAAGAATTAGTACTATTATAAATATAATTTATAGCTCCCTAAAAGCCTTATCTGCCTTATTTATCTAGCTAAACTAATATAGTGGTTTTTTACTAGTTTTTAGTAAATTAGTTAATTCTTTTATTACTCTAGAGTATTTATAAATAAACCTTTAGTAAAAGTTAGTAAAATCCAGGAATACTTAAACTTCTCGAATATTATTCTTTAAGGCCGGCTATTCTCTAATAGCTATAACTCGGCTAATCTTTATTTCTATATTATCTGGGCTAATTACAAATTCCAGAAACTTTATTCTTTCTATATTAAACTTATATTTTACTAAGTTTATAAAGAGCTAGTATTATTATAACTACTCGAATATATATTAGACTATTATTATATACTATTCTGGGTTCTCTAAATAAATTAAAATATTATCTAGATAAATTATATAAATAATATTTATAAGGCCTACTAGTATATAATTAATATATATCTGGAATATTACCGGAGTATTAGATAGTTTAAAAAATATAATATAGTATTTAAAATATTTATAGTATATTCGGAATACTATTTTTTACTTATTACCTTCCCGTATTTATAACTAATAGTAAGTATTTTTTAAGTCTAGCTTTATATATATCTTTACTTTATAAAGCCTATTTATTATTTTACTAATAAGTAGTAATAGTATTTAGTTCTTAATAGTAATTCTATTTAGATTCCGGTAATTAATATATAGATATAGGCCACCTTCTTTCTTTAGAATAAATATAATTAAGGTACTAGCTAGGCTAGTAAAATAACGGATCTATTTCTTTTCTAAGCTAGTATTAAGATATTCCCAAAGGACTTTAAGCTCTTTTTCTAATAAAGTATATATAGGATTATATAATAGTTAGGATCCTGGTTCTAGATCTATATAATACTTTATTATATAATAGTTGGATAATATACCTATAGCCTTTATAAAGAATACTCGGAGAAGATTTTAATACTTTCTAGGAAATATAACTATTTTATTTATAATAATAGTAGTAATTCTTTAGCTATCTATTATAGGATAGGTAATTAATAGAAAAATATA